ATTACATTCTAATTTGTGTGTGTGGGCACGCACTTGTGTGCAGTCTTGGTATAGTGCCTATGTGCGATAAGATGATGACTTTCAGGAGTGAATTCACTCCTTCTACCATGTATGTCCTGAGTATTAAATTCAGGTCCTTGGGCTTGGTGGCAAACTCCCTTATGCACTCACTGAGCCATCTCACCAGCTTCCCCCTGCATGCACTCCCACCTTTATTTTTTGTTTTTTTGTTTTGTGTTGTTTTGTTTTGTTTGAAGATGAGGTCTCTCTACAGAGCCATAGCTATCCTGGAATGTACTCTGTAGACTAGGCTAGCCTCAAACTCAGTGAGATCCACCTGCCTCTGCCTCCTGAGAGCTGGAATCAAAGGTACATACCCACTATGCCCAACTTTTCTTTTTAGTTTTTCTTTTTTTCTTTCTTTCTTTTTTTTAAGATTTTATTTTATGTATATGAATGCTGTGTCTGTATGTACACCTACACTCCAGAAGAGGGCATCATCGCATTACAGATGGTTGTGAGCCACCATGCAGTTGCTGGGAATTGAACTCAGGACCTCACTGTTGAGCCATCTCTCCAGCCCCCAGCTTTTCTTTTTTTGGGGGGGAGGGGGTTCGAGACAGGGTTTCTCTGTGTAGCCCTGGCTGTCCTGGAACTCACTCTGTAGACCAGGCTGGCCTCGAACTCAGAAATCCACCTGCCTCTGCCTCCCAAGTGCTGGGATTAAAGGCGTGCGCCACCACCGCCCCGCCCAGCTTTTCTTTTTAAAAACTCTTTTCATAGATGTATATAATACAGTCTGCCACACCACACCACCTTCTCTCCAAAATGCTCCGCAGAACTTGTTCCTTTCCCATTGTGTCCTTTTGTTTTGTTTTTTTTGATGAGTTTAACCAGGGCTGCCACCAGGGTCATGGTGGTAAAGCTGTCCATTAGACTCTGGTAACTCACTGGTGGCTGTGCCACTAAAAACAATAACATCTACTCTCCCAGGGAACCATCGACTACTAATATCCATCAAGGGGCTGGCCCTACTCATTGGATCCTACCTGTCCCCATCTATGACTGAACATTTACAAGTCCAGTGCTGTTGTTTATTCTTGTTTACTTATTTGAGACAAGCTCCTACTATGTATACCTGGCTGGCCTGGAACTTGTTACATAGGCCTAGCTATCCTGGAACTCACAGAGATCCTTCTGCCTCTGGAGTGCTGAGTATCAGGTCATAAGGAAAACTCCCAATTCCCCAGACTCCAAAAGGCAGACCAGAGGGCTGGAGAGATGGCTCAGTGGTTAAGAGCACTGATTGCTCTTCCAGAGGTCCTGAGTTCAATTCCCAGCAACCACATGGTGGCTCACAACCATCTGTAATGGGATCTGATGCCCTCTTCTGGTATGTCTGATCACAGCAACTGTGTATTCACATTAATAAAATAAATAAATCTTAAAAAAAAAAAAAAAAGGCAGACCAGATACCCAGAAATAGGCTCAACCTGGAATGTATGTAGAGGGATTTCTAGTGGTTAAAAGCCAGCATTCTTCAGGAAGTTGTAAAACTGGTTCCCTACCAAAAAGAGTCATTTCCCTTACCTCTGGCAGAAGGGATGTGTGTGTATGTGTGTGTGTGTGGGCTGCCTATCTGCATATCAGTTTAAGCTAGCCTCCAGGCCCTCTCACTATCACAAGTACCTGTTGCACAAGTCCACTAGGTTTCCCACCTCCTCCTTCTACCCTAAACTGCCTCCAGGGGAGGGCTTCCCTTCCCCATCTATTCATCCTTCTTAAACCAGGCTATGCTCACTATTCTGTCTCCTGCTATTCTCGACTCTCACAGATAGCCCTGGCCATGTTTGGTCTACTTCTCTCTCTTTTTGCTCTGGATTCTTCCTGATGTTTCTCTCTCCTATCTATAGTAAAAACCTTCCCCCTTAGCCATACCATGGAGCTGCTGTCCTGTCAGTTTATACACTGGGTTTAAAGGTGTGCACTATGACACTATCCACCCCACCCTAACACAGATTTTGACAGGGTCCATTCTAGTTTCTTCTGTTGCTGTGATAAACATCCTAGCCAAAAGCAACTTGGTGAGAAATAATCTTATCTGGCTTATAGGTCGCAGTCCATTATTGAGGGAACTAAAGCCAAGGAGTCCCACTGCCTTACTCCCAGGCTCACATTCAGCTCCCTTTCCTATACAGCAGCCCCACCTGTCCAGTATGGCACCTCCCATAAGTAGGGCTAGGCCCTCTGACCTCAATTAGCAATCAGGGAAATGCCTGGGGCTAGAGAGAGATGGCTCTGAGGTTAGCATTACTGACTGCTCTTCCAGAGAACTAGGAGTTTGATTCTTAGCACCTACATAGTGGCTAACTACTATGAAGGCTCATAACTGTCTGTAACCTGTAACTCCAGTTTCAGGAGATCTAACACAACCTTCTGGCCTCCCAAGGGCACCTGGCATGTATACCCTACATGTACAAGCATGCAAGGGCAAAATATCCACACACAAAGATAAATAAGTCTACATAGAGATAGAGATCCTGTCTAAAATTTAAAAACTAATAATAAAAGAAAAAAGAAAATTCCCCCATAGATGTGCCTACAGGCCAATCCAATGGTGATAATTCCTCAAAGTTTCCTCTTCCCAGGTATGTCAAGTTGGCAACCAAGATTAGCAATCACAAGGTCTCCCGGCTGGCTTGCAACTCTCTACTAAGAGTAGGCTGACCTTAGACATGTCTAACTCTCATCTTGCTTCTGTCTCCTGTGTGCTGGGACTGCGAATCCACCATACCTGGACGTCGTCAGTGTGAGTTAAAGGACAGGGTTAGTCATTGATCGAGGTCTGTGCTACAGCTTGAAATGTAATGAGTCCTGGGGAACAAGTCGTAGGGAATTGAAGCCAGAGTGTAGCTCAATAGGAAAGCGCCTTGCCCAGCATGGCACAATCCCCAGCGCCATTTAAAAAAATACAACAGTCGAACTGGGATATTGAAGTAGGCACAATGGTGCACGTGGATCATGGCAGTTCTAGCTATTGAGGGGGTTGAGTACAAATGATCACATGATCCTACAAATTGGAAACTGTTCTGGGCAACAGAGAGAGAGACCTTCCTCAACAAAATAAACTGGGCGGTGAGCCGGCTCTGGGGAAGTTTAGTTCGGCATCCTGCAGCATGCCCTCTGACCTCCACACTTTCACCATGGCATATGTGTTGGCATTTTGCCTAGGCTCCCCCCCACAGTTACCTGGCAACAGCCAGGTATGCCTGAGCAGTATAAAAGGGGCTGCTTGCCCCTCCTCACTCTCTCGCTCTTGTTCTCTCCTCTTGCTCCTGCTCCCTTGCCTTCTTCCCCCTCTCTTCCCATTCCCCTCTCCCCCCAGAGTGCTCATGGCCTGCCTCCTCTACTCTCTCTGTGTCTCTCCTCCTCTCCCTTTCTCCCCCCCCCCCCCGCCGCCTTTCTCTGTCTCTACTCCCTCAACTTCCCTCCCTACGCCCTGAATAAACACTATTCTATACTATAGAATATACTATGGTATCTCATGGGGAAGGGATGCCCCTGCATGGGCCCACAGAGGCAGGCACCCCCTTCCCCCACACCTTACATATCTCTGGTCTCTTTCTTTTTATAAAACACAACATTATGTGTGCCTACACATACAAATAAATATAATGAATGAATAAATTAATAAAATCAACTGAATAGTTATTTGTGTGTCATAGTCAATATGGATTGTCAGCTTGACAGGATCTAACATCACCTAGGAATCCAACCACTGGACATGTCTGTCAGAAAGTTCTAGATCGGATCATTTGAGGTGAGAAAATCCTACCTGACAATGAGTGGCACCATTCACTCTCCTGAATAAAAAGGAGAGGAGGAGCCCAGCACCAGCAGTCATCTCTCTCCTTCCTGATTTTGGATGAAAAGTGACCGGATGCCCCATGCCCCCACTATCATGACAGACTGCCTTCTGTAAGCTGAAACAAGATGTTTCTCATAAACTGTTTTGTCAAGTATTTTGTTCCAGGGGGAAAAAAGGTAACTGATACATTGTGTTTCTGAAAGGACAAATGTAACATATGGCAAACATAATGTTACAAATAAAGACACTTTCTCAGGGCCAGTACTCATCTGTTAGAAAAGCACTTTTCTTTTTCCCTTTCTTTTTTCTTCTTTTTCTTTTCTTTTTTTAAATGGGATTGAAAAGATAAGCGCTGACTGCTCTTGTAGTGCATCTGGGTTCAATTCCCAGCAGCCACATGGCAACACCTGTAGACACTCCAGTTTCAGGGGATCGTTGCTGTCTTGTAGCCTCTGCAGGCATGCTAGTCATACAGTGGATAAACACATGTAGGCAAAACACTCGATATAAATAAAGGAAGTAAGTAGCCATGGAAATGTGGCCATGATGGCTCGCTCACCGGTAATCGTCATACCTGAGAGATTGAGGAAGTAGGATTACCAGGTCTTGAAGGCCAAGTTGCGCTACTGAGTTCTAGGCTCGCTCCAGAATGTGAATCGGCTCTGTGTATTTTGAGTGTAAATAACGGGGCTGATTTTTTTAATCATTTCAGTTCTTCGCTGTGCGCCACCAGGGGGCAGATGGATCCAGCATACTAACCTCCCAACCCGCTTCTTTTCAAAGGGGATTGGGATTTGTAGACTTAGGTAGCACACTGCTGACAAAGTCCTAGGACCTTTATCATAAACTCAAAAGCCTATGAGTAACGCCTCAGTTTTCTATCAATTTCCAGTGCCACCCCTATCTCCACCATTGGTAAAATGCTTTCCTTCTTCCCTTAATCTTTTAAAATTCCTCTTTCCAATTCGGTCGAAAGAGAGGGAAAGACAGCCAGCCAAAGGCAATGGGAAGGGCTAGGGAAACTGGCCCTCCGAGGCTGGGGAGGCAGCGCCCGGACTGCTGGAGCTGGACAGGCCTCTCCACTGGCGAAGAGGGGTGGAGCCGCGAGCAGGGCCGCCTCTCTTCTTTTCCCGGGGCCTGGGCGGAGAGGGAGGAAAACTTCCTGGCTAGGACTCCGGCGGTTTCTGCTTGCCAACCCTCCGATCCCGCCTACCAGTGTTGGCTCTTCCCGACCCCTCCCCCCGGCGCCCCCAGTGTCCGCCATGGCCAAAGCCTACGACCACCTCTTCAAGTTGCTGCTGATCGGGGACTCGGGGGTGGGCAAGACTTGTCTGATCATTCGCTTTGCAGAGGACAACTTCAACAGCACTTACATCTCCACCATCGGTGAGCCCACTGGCTGGACCCCAGACCCACCCCCTGCCCCCGCCCACACTCACACATGGGCTCCTGAAAGACTAAGTAACCTACTTTTTTGGTCCCCTTAGAGAAAGACACTAATTTCCAGTCTCTCGACCCCTACCCCAGACCCATCCCCCATTACGTCCCTGAATAACACTCAAAACCTCAAACCTCTCTGAGGCTTCCAGGTGGCCCCAGTTGCTGCCACCCTCTCCATTTCTTAATGCTGTCTCTCCAAATCCACATAGGTCATTGTCCTTTCCATCTGCTTCCTTCTTCACCCCATCCCTTCACCCAAACTCTCTAGATCCACTCTTCACGATTCCTCTTTTCCCTGCTTCCCAATTCTGTTGGCCTCTTACTGACCCACTGGGCTTCTAACTTCCTCCAGCATCCGCCTCACCTTCAAATCATCTTTCTAGCCACCGTACCCTCAGCAAGGTACTGCAGAGAGTGGCTGGGTGTGCTTTGGGAGTGAGGAAGATGGAAGCGAGGGGACTTTGGAGTCCCTGAGTAAGCTTCGGCACTCATCTTTCTCTCTAGAGGCCTGGGAGATGTGCCCAGACTTCCAGTAATTCCAATAAGAAGAATATCCTTTCCCTCCTCCCCTCCCTCTTCATCTTTCTTCATCTCCTCTTGACTGAGAACACTCTCTCTCTCTCTCTCTCTCTCTTTCTGTCTCTCTCTCTCTCTCTCCCCCCCCCCCTCTCAGAGTCAGAACTAATTCTCCAGAGGACTCTTAGGAAGCCCCCATCTGTCACTTCCAAGCCTAGGTCACTAGTAAAGTCACATAGACTCAATCAGCTGCCTTTCTCATTCCTCTCTATGAAGGGCTAGCAGGGCCGGTGGAGGACCAGTAGTGTCTGTTGGGGGAGGGGGAAAGAAGAACGGGAAAGTGAGGAAGAGATGAAAGGGAAAGTTGTCAGCTGGCAGGCTTTTAACCCCGCTGAAGAGTTTCATCACTTATCTCCAAAACGTCATAAAATCTGAGGAAAACCCGTATGCTTACCATAGGAATATAGCTTTGGAAAAGCTCTCCCGTTTACATATCCAGCAAGGTCACTCCCTCCAGTGCCTGCCCAGTGGAGGTACAGGCACAGCATACAACACCCACACCCACCCCCCTGCTGTCTCCCATATACTTTTCACACATTCTACCTGGCTTCACACCCTTCACCCCAGGAATTGACTTCAAGATCCGAACTGTAGAAATAGAAGGGAAGAGGATCAAACTGCAAGTCTGGTAAGTAAGCTGCCCGCTCCGTTGTCCAGACTGCCCTTTGACCCACCTCTCTCCTGCTCACACCCTCCCCCTTCATTTCTTCTTCCTTAACTTTGTTTCTTTTCAGTTTAGTTTTGGTTTCCTGGGTGTTTTTGTTTTGTTTTGTTTTGTTTTGTTTTGTTTTGTTTTGTTTTGTTTTGTTTTGTTTTTAGACAAAGTCTCATGTAGCCCAGGATGGCCTGGAACTCACTATGTAGCTGAGAAAGAAAGATCTTTATTAGCTCCTGTCTCCCGTGTCCTGGTGTTACAGGCATGTGCAGGCATGTGGCACCATGTTGGTCTTTCTGTTTTGCTTTCTTTCCTTTTCTCCCCTGGTCCAGTACATCACCTAATTTATCCATTTTGCTCAGTCAGCTATCAGCTGGCCTTGCGGCTGTCTTCCTGGTGTCCCACTTTCAGTTCATTTGTGTCTTTTCCTGGACTTGAAAACAAATGTCTTTTGAGCTATGATGTAGAAACAGGGTCTAAGTGTTGAAGAATTACACATTCGACTCCCAGTCTATTGTTCCTCTCTAATTTTAGAGAGCAATCTGGGTGTAAGTGCTGGGACATGCTTTGAGTCCCAGCACTCCAGAAGCAGAGGCAAGCGGATCTCTGTGAGTTTGAGGTCAGCCTGGTCTACAGGGTGTATTCTAGAATAGCCATGGTTATGTAGAAAAACCCTATTTTAAAACACACACACACACATACACACACACACACAAATAACTTTAAAAGTTCTAGCGAGCACAGGCCACATACAGAAGTGTAACCTGATTGTCTCAAGGAGGCTGGAGACACACAGGTGCTGAGCACTATGAGCCTTTACTGAGCCTTCTCATATGACAGAGAAGCAGCAGCAGATAGGGTCTCAACCCTGGTACTGCTTCTTCACTTCTGCTTGACCTTCATTAGTTACCCATCCTCCTCCGCACAGTTGTATCATTTATAAAACGGGGAAAATGAGCCATGCCTCACAATGATACAGCGAGGGTTAGATACGATGACACACACACATAAAGTGACACTTAAGACAGTGCTTGGCATCTATGAGTAAACAGGAGACATCCTGTTTCCCAGGCCTGTAACCTCTGAATAGCAACCCAATGGTCTTTCTCCCTTTCCCCTTTACAGTTTCCTGAGTCTTTTCCTTTCAGCCCCCCACCTCCAGTGTTGCAAAAGCTGAGTCTTTAGGAAAAGACTTCCCCTTGGAGACTTTTTGCTTTTATCTCACTCTATGAAAACTTTTGCTTCAGGGACACGGCTGGCCAAGAACGATTCAAGACAATAACTACCGCCTACTACCGTGGAGCCATGGTATGAGGTGTGGGTCTGGACATGGGCTAAAGTTGGTCGTAATTTCATGAGTACAGAGGGTTATTAGCATCAGGGATAAAGGAGGAGGGCACAGTGCACATTACAGAGAGCTCCATGTGACCTGTGTTTAGACCCACGGACCGGACTTGGATGGTCACTTAGAGGACAACAGAAGCTAAGTGGAAATATGGTCCAAGGTGAACTTTACCATCCCTTAGGGCATTATCCTCGTATATGACATCACAGATGAGAAATCCTTCGAGAATATTCAGAACTGGATGAAAAGCATCAAAGAGGTAAGATGCCTCCAAAAGAAATGAGGGAATAAAATAGCCCCTGAAGGGTGGTGGGGTGTTAGAATGGGCAGGCTTCAGTTTTAATTTTTTGTGTATGGGTGTTTTGCCTGCATCTATATCTGTGAACCAAGATCCCAGTGGTGCTCTCAGAAGTCAGAAGAGGGTAGTGGACTCCTGGGACTGGAGTAACAGATGGTTTTGAGCCACCAATTGAACCCAGGTCCTCTGAAAGAGCTGTTGAGCCTTCTCCTGCCCCAAACCCTCCTTTGTTTTGTTTTGTTTGTTTGTTTGTTTGTTTTTGTTTTCTTCTTGAGACAGGGTCTCACTCTGCAGTAGCCCCAGCTGGTGTGAAACTTAATGTGTAGCCCAAACAGGTCTTGAGCTCACAGCAATCCTCCTGCCTCAGTTTTCTAAGCCCAGGACTTACAGGAAAGCCCCACCTTCTGCTTGTTTTGCTGTCTTCAGAATGCCTCTGCTGGAGTGGAGCGCCTCCTGCTGGGAAACAAGTGTGACATGGAGGCCAAGCGGAAGGTGCAGAAAGAGCAGGCTGAGAAGGTGAGTCAGGCTGGGCTGTCTGCTGCAGGGCTGGGAGACCAGTGTGAGGAGGCATCGCTGAATGCTTCGCGTCTGCCCTTTATCCAGCTCTCTCCTTCCTACCTCATCCCCTACAGTTGGCTCGAGAGCACAGAATCCGATTTTTTGAGACGAGTGCCAAATCCAGTGTGAATGTGGATGAGGTGAGAGCCACCCTCCAAGAGATAAGATGCTAAGAGGTTTATCCCCTCCTTCAACCTGAGCTAAGCACTTTACCCTTTAGGCTTTCAGTTCCCTGGCTCGAGACATCTTGCTCAAGACAGGAGGCCGACGATCGGTGAGTTGGTTCTACTCAGCTGAGTACCACTGCGAGTGTCTGCAAGAACTGAAGCAACTGGAGTGTACTGTGGTACTGCACACCTATGGTCCCAGCACCACGAGGTGCTGCAGGAGTTCAAGTTCATCCTCCACTTCTCTGTTTAAACTCAAAAGTGCCTGTGGAGAACACCATTAATGCCAGCACTAGGGAGGCACAGGCAGGCTGATCTCTGAGGTCAAGGCTAGCTTCGTCTACAGCATGAGTTGACAGCCAGGACTACATGGAGAAACCCTATCTCATTTAAAAAAAAAAAAAAACACAATTGAGGAGAAGGAACAATGCCAAGTGGGGCTGGGGGTGAGGGGGGAAGGGTTGGGAGAGGGTGGAGGTGTCCTGAGTTTATAGACTAGTCCTTCTGCCAGCCCTTCACACACCTGATCCTTCCACCTTCCTAACTCTAGGGAAACAACAGCAAGCCCTCAAGCACTGACCTGAAAACGTCTGACAAGAAGAACAGCAACAAGTGCTCCTTGGGCTGAGGAACATTTCTTGCCTCCTATTCACCCTGAACCTGGAGGCTAGACCTGAGGGAGGCAGACTGAGGGGCTCCAGAGGGGAGAACTGTGGTAGCACCTCGAGGGGTAGATGATGGGAATAAGGAGAATGGGGAGGAAGGAAAGGAAGAAAGAGGCAGGGAAAGGAGGGGGAGGAACCAAGGATGTGAAAGGTGAACAGAAGTGGTTTGAGAAGAGGAAAGGAAGAAGAAATGAGTGGCTTAGGTCTTGGACAGTCCAACATTAATGTCAATACGCTGATCTTTCCATTCCTGGCTCAGGGTTAGGGTCCTGAGAGGCTGGCCTGGCACTACTCTGAGGGTCCCTCACTCTGCAGGGTCTTTGTTAGTATTAAAGGCTACTGTTTTGCATGAATGTTCCACTTGCATTATTTTCATTATCGTCAGAATTGCTCTTCACTCAAATCCAATTTTTGTCACGCCAAGATATTGGTTCACCTGAATCTGGCTGAGTTCCCCTTCCTTGCCCCAACTCTTTCACTGGTGATGAAAACAGCAAGGAGTAGGGGCAGCCTGAAGGATAGACATCCTTTTTCCACTGTGAGTTCCTGAGGACTACAAGAGTTGATGGAACCACACAGTAACCCAAGGATGAAGGATTTGAACCAAGCTTCAGGAAACAGCAGCCCTTAGTATGGTTTATCCAAGGAGATGTAGGACATCTTTGATTCTGATGTAGTCAACTTAGGTATTTGATGGGCACTGTTATCTGCTTTTGTTAGAAAAGAATATTCTCAGTGTTGCACAAAGAAATACATGAACAAAGTAAGAGTAACCTGGCAAGCCAATTTCTTTTTTTTTTTTTTTTTTTTTTTTGGTTTTTCGAGACAGGGTTTCTCTGTGTAGCCCTGGCTGTCCTGGAACTCACTCTGTAGACCAGGCTGGCCTCAAACTCAGAAATCAGCCTGCCTCTGCCTCCCAAGTGCTGGGATTAAAGGCGTGTGCCACCACCACCCGCCAATTTCTTTTTGTAAAACAAACAAACAAACAAACAAACAAACAAAAAAAAAACGGTATGCCACAACCCAAACTGAAAATTCACTTAGGTTTTGTTCTAATGCCAAGTGGTAACTGACTCCGCCTCACTGTTGGGAGCTTAGCTTCAGAATCTTTTGAGATTGACTAGTTTTAAACGAATCCTCAAAAAGGAAATGAGAGAGAGGGAAAGGGTCAGCTGCAAGAGCAGGCCATTACTTGGGATGCAGCAAGGCTTTTTGTAAGCAAAGCTTTACCAGGTAGAGGAAAGTGAAAAGATTTGGCATATCTTTACTAGAGATTCTCTTGCTATAGTAGCTTTATAAGGTGGGCAAGACTTATGAAATATTGGCCAATCGTGGGCTTGCCATCTTTTGATACAAACAACCCTTTTTCACAGTTTGAAGGGAGGGAAGGGACACGGGAGAAACTCAGTTGTTTGTATTTACTGAGCAGCTGCTTTGGGCCAGACTGTAATCACTAAACAGATTTTTGATGCCATAGGAAAGCAGAGAAGTAGACAAACTTTTAAAAGAAAAACAGCTCTTCTTGGTTGTTTTGGTTTTTTTGTTTTGTTTTGTTTTGGTTTGGTTTTGTTTTTTGCCAGGAATGGTGGCTCAGGCCTTTAATCCCCGTACTCAGGAGGCAGAGGCAAGTGGATATCTGTGAGTTCCAGGCCACCTAGGACTACAATAGTGAGACTTGTCCAAAAATAAATAAATTTTTATTTTTATTGTTACATGTGTGGCAGCATGTCTGAATGTGGAGGACAGCTCCTGGGTCAGCTTGTTCCTTCCATGGACTGGACTCAGGTCATCAGGCTTACATGGCCCTGGTTAACTGTCTTCATAGCTCCTCTTTTTCATTTCCTGCAACTGGATGTCTCTGTTACTTTTCTATTGCTGTGAAGACACCATTGTAGTGAGACTTTTGGTTTCTTTAAAGACACAGAAATATTATAGGGCTGTTTTTGTTTTAATCCCAGGTGTGAGGATATGGGGCTTCACAGCAGGTGACTGTGATTTTGCCAGCTTCGGAGAGTTTTTGCTAGTGTGTGATGTTTGGAATTCTGGGAACTTTTCAGAGGCTATATAAATGCTAGAGCCCCACTAGAGGGGCCTGCTGGCCAGCTGGTGGTTGGATGCTGTTTGTTAAGTACTTGTACACAAAGAGATAAGAAGAAGAAATTAGATAAACTGATGGTAAGGATCAAACTTGCTCCAAGGAACTCGGTGGCCCCAATCGGCAGGAAGTAGTCTAACAATATCACCACCTCCTTGTTCCTCTATCTTTCTTCACTCCTTCCTAGTATTAGGAGGTTGAAATGGCAGAAGAAGAGGGGTGGGTGAAGGGTGGAAGAAGAGACGACAAAGTAGCCAAAAGTCCAGTTACACACCTTGACCAAGACAACTTAAAGTCTTCTTTACGTTAATTAGCAGCTTGCTTGCAGTTTCAGAGTGTTAGGAGTACATGACCATCGTGGGGAGCATGGAAGCAAGCAGGCAGGAACGGCTCTAGAGCAGCAGCTGTGAGCTCTGTGTGATGATCCATAAACACAAGGCAGAGAAAGGGCTAACTGAACATAGTGTTGGCTTTTGAAACCTCAAAGCCAACCCTAATGACACACCTCTTCCAACAAGGCCACACCCCCTAGTCCTTACCAAAATGTTCTAACAACTGGGGCAAGTGCTGAAAAGATGAGTAAAAGTGTCAGCCATGAAGCCTGACAACATGAGTTCAATCAAGATGTAGGGTCGCAGGGCACAGTAGGGTCAGAGGGCACAGGCTGGCAGAAGCTTGTAAAAAGCCAGGTGCCGAGTCACATCAACAATGACAGCACTCCTAAACAAGGTGGAATGTGGAGACAGGAGAATTGCCAGGAAGCACACAGCACAGGAAAAAGGTCCTGCTTTAAGGTGAAAAGAACCTTCTAGAAAATTGTCCTTGGACCTCCATAAGCGCACCATGGCACAACAGCACTCACATGAACCCACACAACATATAGATTTATGTGTATTTTGAGACAGGACTCTCACTTACAGGGGAAAGATTGTGCGCTTTCCCCTCCAGTTCAAGGGCAATTTTATTAGAGTTAAATATTTCCTGGGGCAGGCAAGCTGGAAGATTCAGCGTCTGCCTGGAGAAGATGGGGGAGAAGGAACTTTGTTAAGTCTGCATGGACAAGCTGCCACACGGTGGGGAAAGGAGCTTTAGGGAGACTAAGGAGTCCAAAGTATTTGAGAAATCATGTTTAATATAGAGATAGAAGAAAGGTATAGTTATACTTTTCTGTGTAATACAAAAAATCAGGTTAACTTTCAAAACAACACAGCTATGGCCATGTAAGATACTGCCTGGATAAAGTTCCTTCCTTCCTTCCTTCCTTCCTTCCTTCCTTCCTTTCCCCCCCCCCTCCCTCTTTCCCTTTCTTCCCTTCTGACAAGGTTTCTCTGTGTACCTCTGGCTGTCTTGGAATTTGCTCTGTAGATGAGGCTGGCCTTAAACTCAGAGATCCACTTGCCTCTGTCTTCCAAATGCTGGGATTAAAGGAATATACCACTAATGCTAGGCTCTAAATAAACTTTCCAACGGCACACCTGGTCTACCTCAAATCTGGAATTATTTATTTCTTTTTACTTCATTAATTTGCTTAGTTTTTGAGGTAGGGTCTCATGTACTCTGGGATCGACATGCAGGAGGCAAAGGCAGAACGACTACAGGTTGAAGAGTAACCAGTGCTCCATATCAAGACGCTGTCTTAAACTCAAGCAGCAAAAGACAGTGACCCCCGCCCAAGGAAACTACCAGCTTCTCGTTTTTTTTTTGTTTTTTTTTCCTAAACAAGGTTTCTCTGTGTAGCCCTGGCTGTCCTGGAACTCACTCTGTAGTCCAGGCTGGCCTCAAACTCAGAAATCCACCTGCCTCTGCCTTCCAAGTGCTGGCATTCAAGGCCTGTGCCACTGTACCCAGCAAGATTAACTTTTTTTTTGATACTCACCGCTTTGTTTGGTTTTTCGAGACAGGGTTTCTCTGTGTAGCTCTGGCTGTCCTGGAACTCATTATGTAGACCTCGAACTCAGAAATCCGCCTGCCTCTGCCTCCTGAGTGCTGGGATTAAAGGTGTGAGCCACCACCGTCCGGGGAAATAATTTTTTAATTAAAAAATTATTTCGTGTGTGTGTGTGTGTGTGTGTGTGTGTGTGTGTGTGTACGAGTGCTTTGGTGTCCATCCTGTGTGTGCCTGGTACCCGTGGTGTCCAAAAGAGAGTGTGAGATCTCCTACAACTAACTGTATTCACAAGCAGTTGTGAGTCCCTGTGGATGCTGGGAATCAAATCTGGATCCTCTGAAAAAACAGTTGGTGCTCTTAACTACTGAGCCATCTCTTTGGCAGATTTTTCTCTCTTTCTTATTTTCTTCCTTCCTTTCTTTATTTCTTTCTGTCTTTCTGCACAGAGTCTCATCCTGTAATCCTGGCTGGCCTAGAACTTGCTGTGTTGACAAGGCTGGTCTCAAATTCCACCTGCCTCCTGAGTACCTGACTAAAGGCTTGCCACCACAACACCAATCGAGTCGCCGAAAAGCTCCTAAATCTAGTTCCAATAATACTTTCAATCTAAAATCTCTACGCTCTAGTCAGGCAAAGTGGTGACATGCTTTTAATCCCAGCTCTTGGGTGGCAGAGGCAGGCAGATTTCTAAGTTAGAGGCCAGCCTGCCCTACAAAGCAAGTTCCAGAGCAGACTGAACTACACAGAAAAACTCTGCCTCAAAATAATAACAATAACAATATAAAATGAATAAAGAAATATCAACCAACCAAGTAAATATTAAAAATCTCCGTGCTCTTGGCCTTGAGATCATTTCCTTATTTGTAGGAGCAAGGGAGAGATGAGAACATCTGAGGTTTTTCAAAGGAATAGCTCTGTGAAGCAGTTTCATACTAACATAGGGGAAACAGACACCGTTCATTTGCGTAGAGTCCGGTGGGAGTACAGGGACAAGAGCAAGTTTCAAATTCGATGCAGTTCCTCCTCCCATCTGCAGATTTTCAGGACCCAACGTGTCAAGGCCGGGCCGGTGTTAAGCCTGAAATGGGGAGGGTGTCAAGAGCCTAATGGTGAGTCCAAAGTTTTGATGAAGGCCCCAGTTCAGACAGAGCGGTTTCTTCCCTCTTTTTATCCCTCCCCGCTTTCCTGGTTTTAAATAGACAAGTAGATGATATTAGGGAGAAGCGAACCCAGAACAAACCGCCGGTCCTGCCGACTCTGCAAACACTACAAGGACCACACTGCCGCGCGGCGGCCAGCTGAAGAGTCACGTGATCCTGCGCAAACGCAGTGAGATCCAGTTGCCACCGAGTCCGGAACGACTTCAGCAGGAGACAGACAAGCGCAACCGGGAAAGAGTCATCGTCGCTAGTGCTGGGACCAGGAGCCTCCGCGAGCAAGATGGCCGCTCCCGAGACCGAGGCCGAGGGACACGGGCACTAGGTCCGGACCCGCATGCCCTTTTCTCCGCCGCCTGCGCCCTCACAAAGACCTCGCGCTTCTAGCCAAGACACTCACATGGATTATTCTCGCAGTGGTCACGAGGCCGTTCCAATAGAGCTCTAGTTGGCCCAGATTGAGAACTCTGGCACTTGGCTGCTCTGAGCTGGAACCTCAGGGAGGTCTGCTGCAACAGGTGCGACCCTGACCGCTCCATGCGCGTGGGCGCGGGGAGGCGTGGCCTCCCCCGGGGCGGCCACCTCTGTTGGTTGCTGTGCGCTTTCACCTTAAAGCTCTGGTAAGTGGGGACTGGGGAGGGAAAAGGGGATCGCAGACGAACCCGATAGTCTACGCCCTCAGGAACCAGGACACTTCGTCCACTGACATCCAAAGTGGGTATGCCCTGTTTTGTGCGAGCTCACCGTTGTTCTTACCCTTTTTCCCTACCTGCAGCGAAGCAGAGGCTCCGGTGCGCGAGGAGAAGCTATCAGGTGGGTTATTGCCCGAGAACCCTGTACCTCTAATTTTTTTTTTTTTTTTAGCATACCCAGAACACAGATAGAAAAAGGAGGTGCCATATGGAATGAGGGCAAGCGCTGTGTTGGGAAGCTAGATGGGCAGAGCCTTTGAGAGAAATGTTTTTTGAATGGTCTTCGGCTGGCCGTTTTTCTCTCTCTCCTTTTAGTGAGCACCTCAGCTTCGCCATGTTGGTTGGTAGAAGAGTTTGTGGTGACCGAAGAGTGTACTCCATGTTCTAACTTCCAGATTGTAAGTATTGTTTTTGTTTGTTTCTTTGTTTGTTGGTTTGGCTTTTAAGCATGCCATTACTGTGTCTTCCTTCTTTATTCTCAGGCTGTTAGGTTATGTTCAAATCGTATTTATTTTTTGTTTGTTTCATTTTTTTATATATGTATAGGTGTTTTGCCTGTGTGTATATGTATGTATTCAGGGTGTGTGTGTGTGTGTTGCCCTAAAAATCCAGAAGAGATCATCAGATCTCCTGGAATCAGAGTTAGAAAAGATGATGTGCCCTGATGTGGGTGCTGGGAATGGAACCCTGTCCTCTCCAAGAGCAACCTCTTACCTACTGAGCCATATCTCCAGCCCTCTTTTTTTGTGTGTGTGAGTTATGTGCCACAGAAGGCAGAGGATAACTTGAGGTAGTTGTTTCTCCCTTCCCAACACATAGATGCAATCTGTTAATCTTGGCTACAAATGTCTTTACCCACAGAGGCATCTCAGCAGCCCTCAAACTTGAACTTAATTTCCCTCTGAAAATAAGCCTTTCCACACTGATGGCACTGTCTTGCCCTGTTCATATTTTTTAATACAGAAGATTCTGGAATTTCTCCTTACCTCCTAATTGTTCCTCCACCAATTACCTCCACCATCCACATCAGAGCTTTTCATTAGCTCTGTGCTGTCCGCTAGCTCTGGCTCTTTCTGAACAGCGGGTCTCTCTTCCTAATGTGCTTTTGGATATTTCTTTTGGTAGAAAACAACACCTGAGTGTGGTTCTACAGGGTATGTGGAGAAAATCACATGTAGCTCATCTAAAAGGAATGAATTTAAAAGGTAAGGGCTGTTTCTCTATTCTGTGGTAACCTTCTCTGATGCTGTTAGGTTAGATAGCTATCTCCCAGTCTTGGTGTAGTATAGCATACTGGAAAAAGGAGAAGATGTGAGCCAAATAACCCCTAAGTCCTAACCCCGGTCTCCAGCACTATGTTATTGGTTATGCTCTCTGATCAAAGAGTTTGGTCAGGGTGTGGGGAATGTAACCCATTAGTAAAGTCCTGGGGTGGTGGGGTTGGTTATACCTTGAATCCTAGGTCTCAGGATGCAGAAGCAGGCTGAGATCAACACCAGCCTGGTCTGTGTAGGGGAGGAGTTTAGTTGGCCAAGGCTATATCCTAAGACCCTATCTCAAGTAAGTAAGCAGTTAAGCCAGGTGTACTAACACACATCTTTGATCTCAGCAGTCTCAGAAGGCAGAGGCAGACGTATCTCTAAGAGAGCCTGATTAGATGGTTCAGTGATTAAAGGCACTCACCACTATTGTAGAGAACCCTGGCTCAGTTCTCAGCACCTACAAAGTTGGTCTGACTCAAGTTCCCAGGTATCCAGCACCCTCTTCTGGCCTCCTTAGGCATTAGTCACACACATGGTGCATATACATACATGCATGAATCTTTAAAAAATATATATATAGTCGGGCAGTGGTGGCGCATGCCTTTAATCCCAGCACGTGGGAGGCAGAGGCAGGCGGATTTCTGAGTTCGAGGCCAGCCTGGTCTACAGAGTGAGTTCCAGGACAGCTAGGACTACACAGAGAAACCCTGTCTCAAAAAAACAAAAAACAAACAAAACAAAACAAAAAAAACAGCAACATAGTTTGAGCCTCAGAACTCAAATGGTAGAAGTATAGGACTCATTCCAGCAAGTTAGTCTTCTGACTGGTGTGTGTGTGTGTGTTCCTTGGCTTGAGTGTGTACACGCACACAACATAACAAAAAAATGTAACTTTTTTTTTTAAAGGAAGAAGAGTTAGGCATGATAGTACATGTTTGTAATCCTAGCACTTAGGATATAGAGGCAGAGGAATCGGGAGTTCAAGGCCAGCTTGAACTACTTGAGACTTTTTGTTTGTTTTGTTTTTGAGACAGGGTTTCTTTGTATGGCTCTGGAGGTCCTAGAACTTGATATGTAGTCCAAGCTGGCTTTGAACTCACAGAAATCTCTACCTTTGCCTCCCCTGTGCTGGGATTAAAGGCATGCACCACCACCGCCCAGTGAGACTTTATCAAAAAAGAAAAAGAAGCAATCAAATTGGTTAATGCGGCTCTGCTTATCTCTTCAGAGACTCTAGACCAGACTAAGTTCGGTTTCTCTCATTTTTGGATAGTGTTTTGGGTAGGCTGAAGTGGAGAACAGAAATAAAGAGAAACTGACTTTCCCTGGGAATGACTGTCCTTTTCTGCCCTCAGCTGCCGCTCGGCTCTGCTGGAACAACACTTATTCTGGAAGTTTGAAGGCATCGTGGTGGGTGTAGCTTTAGTCTTCGCTTGCCTCGTCATCATTCGTCAGCGACAACTGGACAGAAAGGCTCTTGAAAAAGTCCGGAAGCAAATTGAGTCCATATAGCTGAATTCTACTGTATTATGGTGGGTCTTACGGACTGTATCTCAGATGGAAAAAGTTCGTTGGGCTAATTTGCACTCATAAGCCTTGTGGTAGTAGCATTTTTACTGACTTCCTCTTCCAGACCACTAATGAGCACAATAAAAAGTAAAATAGAGCTGGACATGACACAGACTTGTAATTCCAGCACTTGAAAGAATGAGGCAGGAGAATCTTTGGTAAATTTGTAGGCCGGCTAGGCTGAACTACATAGTAAGACTGTCTTTAAAAAAAAAAAAAAAAAAAAGAATAAAGGAGTAAAACAATTTCCTTCTGTATAATGATTTGGCTTGGGGAGGACTGGGTGTGGTAGGGCATGCAGAGAGAGGCAGATCTCTGTGAGTTCAAGGCCAGCTTAGACTACATATGGAGCTCCAGGCCAGCAAGGAATACTTACTAAGACCCTGCCTCAAATAATTAATTAAATTTGAAAGAGTTGCTGAGTTGGCTCAGTTCTTAAGAGCACTTGCTGGGAGCTGGAGAGATGGTTCAGTGTTTAAGAACACTGACTGCTATTCTTCCAGAGGTCCTGAGTTCAATTCCCAGCAATCACATGGTGGCTCACAACCATTGGTAATGGGATCCAATGCCTTCTTCTAATGTGTCTGAAGAGAGTGACAGTATATTCACATACATTAAATAAATAAACAAATAAATCTTTGGAAAAATAAAGAAATAAAGAGCACTTGCTGCTCTTACAGGGGATCTGGGTTTGGTTCCCAGCTCCCAAGTCCGGTGGCTCACAGTCACTTGTCTTTCTAGTTTCAGGAACTCTAATACCCTGTGGCCTCTATAGGTGCCTGCAGTAAGTGGCGCACATAAACTCATGCATTAACAGACATATGCACAAAGAAAAATGAGTATTTTCCTTTTTAGATATAGGCTCTCCCCATGTATGTAAGTGATTTGTGCATGTATGTCTGTATGCTATGTGTGTGTCTGGTACACACGGAGGCCGGAAGAGGATACCAGAGCCTGAGCTGCTACATGGTGTAGGGAATTCACTGTGGGTCCTCTGCAAGAGGAAAAAATGCTCTCAATGACTTCTTTGGCCACCAAATGAATAAATCTTTTTAAAAATAATACTTTAATACGGGGAAAGAAGTCATAGGTACAGTGAGAGAACGACAATTGAGCGAGTAACTATTACCTCTCCCTTTTATTGCTTCAAAATTCTTTGAGATTTATTTATCTTTTCTTTTGTGTTGGTGAATGGTTTATCTGCACGCACATGCACCATTTGCATGTCTGGTTGGTGACCTCAGAGGTTAGAGGAGGACGTTGGATCTTTTGGAACTGAAGTTATAGATCAATATGACTTCACTATGAGTCACCAAGAAAGTACTATGAACCAGATCTAGGTCTTCCTTGTAAACAACAAATGTTCTTAGTTACTGAGCCAGTCTGCCATCTTTTTCTCTTATATAGAATTTCAGAGCTGGCAGAGGGGTTCAGGCACTAAGGTGCTTGGTGCAGTGGCTAGAGAGATGGCTCTGCAGTTAAGAGAACTTGCTGCTTTCCCAGAGGACTGTGCTTGGTTCCAGTACCTGCAGCTGGCTCACAGCTGCCAGCTTCAAGGGAATCCATTGACACGTATGTTATGTACTCACATAGAAACACATATACATAAATAAAAATGTTAAAAAATGTTTGCTGCATAGGCTTGATGACCTGACTTTGATTCTTAGAATAGGTGGTGAGAAGAAAGAACCCAAAAGTTGCCCTTTGACCTTTACATGTGTATTATACCACTTGTATACACAATAATACACTTACACACCATACTTAATACACAATAATAAACACAATTTCCAAGCTGGATGTGGTACTATATACTTGTAGGCAAATCAAGAGTTCGAGACCAGCTTAGGCTATATAGAGAAAATTTGTGACAGAATTTGAGCTAGGAAGTTTATTTCCAAGTTAAAACTTGTTTCCTCTTGACTTTATTCATAAGGAAGAAATGAAATCACAGATATATGACAGAACTATCTGAGGTGCCCTGCCATATAAGCAAGCCTGGCTTTAGGGGACAGAAATCTCCGATTGTGTCCTGAGTGAGTCAGCACTCCAGGGGTACGGATTCCTCAGTGGGAACCCCAGATGAAAGATGACAGGGAAGCCTGTGCGGACTCTTGTGTGACTGGAAAGTGTTGGCTTACATCTCGTCTGCATGCACCATTTCCCTGATCTGCCCAGTGGGTCTGGCCTTCACTCGCATCTTCAGATGTGTCTTTGTTGAACCATTTGCAGTTGGGACTTCAGGTAGCTCCTCCCATTTGGACTTTAGCACTGGGCTCTCCAAGCTTTCTGTCATGTCCTCGTGAGTCAAGATATTTCTGGAAATCACTGAGGAGAAAGTGTAATTGTAGATCATTTGTGTGGGTAGGAGACTGGCCCAGAACCCTTCTACTCTTGGACTGTTTTGGAGAATAGTTTCCTGGCTCATCCTTGGGGCTGCTTGCCCTTGCCTCTTACCTCCATGAAGCTGGTAACCCTCAGGCCTAGCTTCTGGTTGACCCTGGAAGGGGCTGAAGCTGGGCAGGATGATGAGAGCCAGCGAAAAAAGAAGAATCTGAAAAGAGCAAGAGGGCATTTGGGCTTTGGGGACAACAGAGGAGGAAGGCATGGGGAATACATGGCCGATGAGGTTATCACAGTTTGGAGAACAGGGCTGGGCAGGGCAGGTATTAGGTGGAAGTGTGAAGGGTGGCAGAGGTGGGAGAGGGGAAGTAAGGAACATCTTGATGGTACCAGAACACAGGTGCTGGTCTGGGCAGCTCTGCTGGAGGTCTGAGCAGTGAGCTTCTGTAACTGGTGGACTTGTGCCACCAAGGAGCTAGGAGAAGAAAAGAGTCAGCCAAGAACAGCTGCCTGTGGCTGGCTCCTGCCCTCTCTTCCTTCCAGACACTACCACTCACATGTTCTGCCTCTCCAGCTCCTGGACCTTTCTCTGTAGTTTCTGATTCTGTTCAGAGCAGGCTGCCACTCTAGGGAGTGTGGAGAAGTAGAGCAGGCTTGGCAGATGGCCCCTAACACGCTTTGCTGAGGAAGGGGCCCCAGACACCACCCAAACATACCTGCTCTCCAGCCCGTCTATGTATTCTTTCTTCCGCCGCCGGCTGTCCTGAGCTGACTGCTTGTTGCGGATTTTCCTTCTGATCTTCTTGAGTATTCTCTCCTCTGCCTGGAGGCTCGGGGTGTTCAGTGCTGGGCCCTGAGCCTCCCACAACTCCCCAACTGTCCCCTGGGATCCAGGCTCTTTAGAGGTTGAGTGGAGCTTCTGTAATGGGGACACCCTTTGGGGACCGTTGTTACCTTGGTGAGGGGCAGGTGAGAGGGCAAAGTAACCCCTTCTTGCCCCAGCAGATGCTTTTCTTCATCTGTCAGGAACAGACGTTGGCAAGACAGCTGGGAGGAATGGAGGAAGAGGAGTGGGAACAAGGTCACCTGCTTCCAAAGCCCAAACTGTCCCATTGCCCCAGCCTGCTTTCTGTCTGCACTGAATGATAAGGTGAGGTCAGGGCAGAAAGGTCACTCAGGCAGGTTCCGTGGGAAGCCAAAGGGCCTTCCTGAAGCTGGGGAGGGAGAGTCCACACAAACCTTGACATTACATTACAACCAAGCTAGAGAGGGCCTGTTCTGCTATCTCAGGACAATCAGAAGAGAGCTTGTTTAAATTTACTATGATGAGCTTTGTTTAATTTCCTTATGTCAGGTAAACTATTTAGCCATTAATTTCCACTTGGTAAAATATTTGGTAGCCCATCACCCACAGGAACATGTAATTCATTATCCCCCAGCTCTAAGCTCCACCTGTTAGGTTAAGCTGTCCACCCTCAGACAAGGAGTTTCCTTTCTTCTTTTTATTTACTTTTATTTTACGTGCATTGGCGTTTTGCCTGCATGTCTGTCTGTGTGATGGTGTCGGATCCCCTGGAACTGGAGTTACAGACAGGCGTGAGCTGCGACGTGGGAGCTGGAAATGGAACCTGGATCCTCACGCTCCTAACCACTGAGCTGCTATCTTTCCAGCCCTGAGAGAAGGAGTCTCTAAGGAGAGCCAGGCTGACTTCTCAAGCACAGTTTGTGGGAGGGGTAGATAGTATGGGTTAAGCTGAATCATCAGCTGAAGATCCTACCTTCTCACTGACAATCCAGTTATTCACTTCATGTGAGTGGCTTTTTGTATATCTTTATGGGCATGTGGACAGATTAAAAGATAACTTTCAGAAATGAGGTTTGTTTGTTTTTTCCTACCATGTTGAGTCTAGGAATCAAAATGAAATTGTAAGGCTTGGCAGCTAGTGCCTTTATCCACCAAGCCATCTTGCTGGTCCTAATATTCCTCTTTGAAAGATTTACAGTGTTTATAATTTTGTTGTTGGTTTGGTTTTTCAAGACAGGGTTTCTCTGTGTAATCTCAGATGTCCTGGAACTCACTCTGTAGACCAGGCTGGCCTCAAACTCAGAAATCTGCCCGTCTCTGCCCCCTGAGTACTAGGATTAAGGGAGTGTACCATCATGCTCAGCCTTATTTTTTTTTTTAATTTTATGTGTATGAGTGTTTATTTGTGTGCCTGATGCCCATGGAGGTAGAAGAGGATATTGGATCCTTCGGAACTGGAGTTACAGATGGTTGTGAACCGGACTTCAACCTGAGTCTCCTGACAAAGCAGCTAGTGCTCTTAACCACTGAGACATCTCTCCAGCCCCTGGATTGGTTGTTTTGAGATAGCCTGTCGCTGTGTAGAGTAGGCTGGCCCTGAATTTGTGGTACTCTTCCAGCCTCTGCCTCCCAAGGGCAGAGGTTTCCAGTGTGTGCCACCACACTGAACTTATGCTTCAGTTTGTAATTTAAGAGTAACTTAGTTTAGAGCTGGCAAGATGGCTCAGCAGATAAAGCACTTGCCACACAAGACTGACAGTCTGAGTTTAATCTCTGGAATCCATTTAAAGGTGGGAGGAGAAGACCAAGTCCAAAGTGGTCCTCTGGCCTCCGCATAAGCTATGGCATGTGTGTGCTGTCCTCCTCCAGATCATAGAATATACAATAATAAATGTGTGTGTGTGTGTTGGGGGTGTATCATGCCACATGTGACCAGAGGCCAAAGAGATCCTACAGATACCCTGCTGTATCAGTCTCCACCCTATTCCTTTGAGACTGAGTTTCTCACTGGCCCTGGAGCTAGCCTGGTGATCAGCAAGCCCCAGTGGTCCTCCTGTTTCGACCCCTCATAGCATGAG